ACGCCCGCTGGGACCCACTGAGGACAAACCACAGGGTGACACGAAGGGGTGGGCATCCAGGACCCCGCGGGGAGGAAGGGGAGGAGGTCGCCCTGGCTGAGCGCTCTGCTGGGGCCGCAGCGGCTGGGGGCTCCCCCTGCCCAGCCCAAGACCAGAGCTGGGCCGCGGGGCTTCCTTTGCCCCAGGCGCTGTTCTAAGCACGTTGTGTATTAACGCAGGCGTCCTCACCACAGCTGACTAGGGAGGTACAGATTTCTATACATAAAACAGCTGAGGGACCAGCAGTTAGCATAATGGCTATGTCGCTGGACTCCCATGTAGTCGACCGCGGTTTGCGTCCCAGACCCGGTGGCTTAAACTCACGCCGGGTGCATGTGCGTGCGTGCCCAAGATCCCGAGAGGAGAATGGAGGAGAAGGGATTGCAGCATGGTTCCCCCCACCGCCCTGGGGGTGATTCTTGCTTTTCTGTCCCTCTGTCTTTCTGGTGAGCACACACACCCTATAGCAAAAACGTCTCCAAAAAATAAATAAATAAAACAGCTGAGTTACTCTTTCTTTTAAAATAATTATTTAATTTTACTTGTTATTATTATTATTTTTTAATTTGCTAGAGGGCACAAACTCTCACCGGAGAGTCAGAGAGAGGGAACGTGAGAAAGCAAGTCACCAGGTCTGGAACTCGAACTGCAATCGGCCATGTGGGAGCCCAGTGCCTCCACCACTGCCAACTGTTGGCCCCCTGAGTTACTTTTTTCTTTAAGAGATTTTTGCCTTAGAGCATGTGCACTGGGCAGAGAGACAGAGAGAAGGAAAGTGAGAAATCACCCCCAAGGGGGATGGCCCTGTTGCAATCCCTTCTCCACTCTCCTCCTGGATTCTTGGGCACGCATGCACAGCCACTGAGTCTGGGCCTCCACCAGTGGTCAGGCATGCGGAGTCCAGCAACATAACCGCTGAGCCATCCACGCCTGAGGTACTCTTCTTGAGAGACAGTAAATAACGGGAATCACGCAGCTCCGCGGGGGCAGGGTCTGGACGGCGGCCGTGCAGCTCCGTGGGCACTGCAACGCACAGCTCTCTGTAGCTCGTCCTTTTCTCATCCCTTGTATCTGGGCTGGCCTTGAGACGCTGTGGCCAACAGAACGTGGTGGACGTGACGTCGCACGAGTTCTGAGGCCTGGTGCCTCTCTCTGGGGGTCCCTCCGCCAAAGCTCTCTGAAGTCACCCGAGTGTGCCTACTGGAGGATGAGCACCCACACGGAGGAGAGCCAAACTGCACAGACAACAGGGAGCCCCCACAAACCCAGGACCTGAAATAAACTGAGCTTGCCCCAGACTAGACTAACCTCACCGCTGAGTCCAGTCCGAAATGCCGGCCTGGGGAATGCGAGCAAAGTAAATGGTTGCTGGTTTAAACCACTACATGTGGGCTGGTTTGCTATGCAGCAAGAGCTAGCTGATAAAGGCTCTGGAGTCCAGGTTCTTAACTTGTGCATGTAATTGCCTTACACAGTAGGTATTCAGTGCGTCTGCACCATTTTACACTCCCGCGGAGACGCACAAGAGTCCCGGCTTCTCCACAACCTCACCCACACTTGTTACTTCTGTTTGGCTTTGTTGTTTTTAAAATTAAAGCCATGCTAGAGGGTATGGAGCGGTATCTCATTATAGTTTCGATTTTTCTTTAATCATCAGTGATGTTGGACATATTTTTATATGCTTGCTGGTCATTTGTATATCTTCTTTAGGGAAATGTCTTCAAGGTTTTTTTCTCAGTTTTAATTGAATTGTCTATCTTTATGTGGTTGAGTTGTAAGAATTATTCTTATTTTCTGGATATTATTTTTTTTATTTTTTCTTCTTTTTAAAAATCTTTATTTACTGAAGGCCAGTAGATAGTGTGGTGGTTAAGGGTGCTGGACTCCCACATGGCCGACCGTGGTTCGAGTCTTGGACCCGACAACTTGCTTTCTCACTTTCCCTCTCTCTCTCTCACTCTGTCCCTCTCTAGTCAAGTAAAAATAAATAAATAAAGTTAAATAAAATAATTATTTAAAATATTTATTTATTCATTTTGCTATAGGGTGCATGCACTCACCAGAGAGACAGGCAGAGACAGAGAGACAGAAAGCAAAATATCAGCCCCAGGGGGACGGGCGTGCTGTGACCCCTTCTTCTTTATTCTCTCAGGATTTGGGGCACACACAAACACTCACCTGGCATGAATTTTAAGATGCCGGGTCTGGGACTCAAACTGGTTGCCTACATGGGAGTCCAGCTACATAACCATTATGTCATCTGCTGGTCCCTGAATAGTAAATCTTATCAGGTTGGGCTAGCAGGCGGCATGGTTTGAGTCCTGGACCCAGTGGTTTGCAAATCATGCTGGGTACGTGTGTGCGTGTGCCCACAATCCCAGGAGGAGAATGGAGAAGGGATTGTGGTGTGGCCACCCCCTCTGGGGGTGATCTCTCACTTTCCGTTTTATTGCCTCAGCCTCTCTGCCCAGCACATTTGCCCTAAGGCAAAATCCTTTTTAAACAGTCATTATCAGGCACATGGTTTGGGAATATTTTCCCCCACCCTGTAGGTTATTGTTTCACATTCCTCATGTCTTTTAATGCCAACATTTGGGAGGCCAACGGTTGGTGTAATGGCTATGTTGCTGGACTCCCATGTAGTTGACCGTGCTTCGAGTCTCGGACCCGGTGGCTTAAACTGACGCATGCGTGCGTGCTCAAGATCCCAAGAGGAGAGTGGAGGAGAAGGGATTGCGGCGTGGCCATCCCCCCCAGGGGGTGATTTCTCGCTTTCTGTCTCTGTCTTTCTGGTGAGGGCACGCGCTCTATAGCAAAAACCTCTCCTCCCCCCCAATTTTTTTTGTCAAAACATCTGGTTTGTAAATTTAACTTATTTAATTATTTAGCCAGAGGGTGTGTGCACTCACGAGAGACAGAGAGACAGAGAAAAATCCCCCATGGAGTATGGGCATGTCATAATCCTTTTTCCTCCATTCTCCCTTCCCGTTAGGACTTTGGGCACACACGCACGTGCCTGGTGTTTTCAACGTGCCAAGGCTAGAACTGGAACTGCAGTTTACATGTAGGACCCGGCGCCTTTGACCGCTGCGCTCTGGGGCTGGCCTCAGCACTTTTCATCCTTACTGAGTCTAAGTCGTCTTCCTTCCTTCTTCTGTTGCTTGTGCTTTTGGTGTCAAATCTAAGAACCTACTGCCAAATACCGGTCCCAATATTTTCTTCTAACACTTTAAGCTCTTCTAGTTCGAGTGTTGACTCGCTTTGTGATCATTTTCTACGTGGAATAAGGGCAGTCCAGCCTCGCTCTTCAGCCTGTGGTTACCCAGTTGACTCAGCGCCATTCTTTTGAGACTATCCTTCCCACACCAGAGGGTCTTAACAGCCTTGCAAAAACTCCACCGCCAAGAGGGGTCTCCTTCGGAACCATGCTCCTCTGGTTTGCGCGGCTCTCTCCCGCGGTTAGCGCCGCTGTTTACATTGCTGTAGCTTTCGATTACGTTTAAAGTGGGGAATGTGCCTCTTCGCTCCGTTTCAAGGTGTGAGCACAAACTGGCGGTGCGGCTAGGCTGGGCCTGGTCTGTGTGCCGGTCACCCAGGGGCTGGCTGCACCTGCCCTGGCAGATGCCACCTCCTCCTGGGTGGCGAAGGAAGCACTTGGTTGAGGACTGCCAAGGGTGGGGGTGAGACAGGCAGGCAGGCTCAGCCCTGGGGAGCCATGCCTCTGCTCCTGAGCCATACCCAGGCTGCTATGGAGCCCGGGACTTGGGGTGCAACCAGGTACTGAGTCTCCGTTCTCAGACCCTCCCCTGGTGTTGCTTCCCCCTCAGGGTCTGAGCCTGCACCCTGCACCGCATCACCCACCACACAGCTCCCACCCTCTGCCGCGGGCTGCTGGGCCCACAGCCCACCTCTCACCTCCTGACACCCACCCTGAGTGCCCAGAGGACTCTGCTGCACCCCACCTTCCACAGATCTCACCAGCATGTGGCCACGTGGTCTGGAACCCTTCTGGACCCCACAAAAGGCCACGACAACATGTGAATCCCACTGTGTGCTCTGACCACGTCCCTCTGACCACCTGCCATCTTTTTCCTTTTTCTTTTTTTTTTTTTTTTAGAAATTTTCACTATAGGGCACGTGCTCGCCAAAAAGACAGAGAGAGACAGAGAGACAGAAAG